TTTGAAGTATACCAGAATGGTTTTGACCTCCCGTGATCGGTTAGATCCTGGGCTCGCCCTTGAAAATCATACTCATGACTTAGGCAGCATACAATGCACGAGGGCTCGTATGCTACTTCCACGTATTCCCATGAATCTGTCCGGATCTCCGGATAGTTCTCCTAAAATAACATCATAGACCACCACAAATATCACCTCCTCCATGTAGCCAGCTGCTGAGCTCTACAGTTTCTTCTGTATCCGTCTTACCCGAGCACCCAATTACGACCCTACCATCCAGCGGTCGGCAGCCAATCAGTCGTGAACAGGATTCTTCAAGACAGGTACTTCTAAAATATGAACCTCTTGTATGACATAAGAAGATAAGATAGACCGGACCCTTGATCTTAGTACCCCCAACCCCCAACCCCCGCAGTCTATTTGTGGCTCGAGATAAGACCCCAGACGATCTGATACTGTGTGCTTTTTACTAGTGTGCATCGAGTTTCCCAACCTGCCATAACAACGATGGCTGTGAAAACAAAATGGTGTCCTCTAACCTTAGAATTGTAGAACAGATGTAAGCAATGACAAGATTTTAGGAATAGGTTTCAAGACTAGATAGCTTTATTATGCGTATATTGATTTATAAATACGAATTTTGGTGCCATATGCCACTGTAGGACAGGCAAATAGATAGACAGGCAAATAGATAGATAGTGAAGTGAGATGGTTCGCTGTTGGAAGAAGGTAAGGCTCACCGTACGATTCTTCCATGTATCACTCCTCAAATTAGTGCGGAGAAACACAATCTTGGAAAGTAATAAAGGATCAGCGTCGCAGCTTGACTCGATCATTCTAAAATAATATAAGAAATCAAATGGATTCAAATTTCGCTCTCATCTAACGCCTGTCTATAATAAAAGCCCAGATCTAAGCAACAATCCACCCTCTCAAGTCTGTGTCAAGCCATCGCCTCCAATATCTAATATGATTAGGCTTTCCTGTCTTGTATTTTAAATGCCGTCCAATGGTCTATGATCCTAAATGCCTGGCTCTCTAGTGTGCGAAGCGGAAATCGAGTCTCTTGTTGCCTTCGTCCTTGGTTGTTCTGAGGTAGGTCTCCTTCTCCTCCTGCGTCATCGCATTCCAAATGATCTCACGAGATTTGTTGCGTCTCACATAGTAAACCTTGATGAAAATCGTCATAACCATGTTCCAGCCAACAATAGCCAGAAGGATCTTGTTTCCCTTCCGATAGTACGGCTTATCATCGTCGCGGTAGATCTGTTTCAAGAATGTTAGACAATCTGTAATCAGGGGCCACAATCTATCAAGAAGGGTGCAAATCTCACCTGAGTAGAAATGACCGAACTGGCCTGGCAAATCATGTTGTACAAGGCGCTGCCGAGTGTTCTTGTTCTCACTGAGCCGGCATTTCGAGATGTTAAAGCCACTGTAGCGTAATAGTTAGCTTCTGATCAAAAATAAGGTCAGAAATACTAGTAATCAAGCCTACCATTGATCGAATGAATGTAGGGAAATCCGACAAGCAAGAAGGTTACCGCATACCAGCTCCACGGGCTTGCAGTGCTGGGCAGGAGCTCGAGGGCAAGCAGGAGAGGCAAGCAATAAATGGAATAATAAAACACAACGGCCATGCGGTTATTGATTTTCTCGGATATCCAAGACCAGAACACAAGCTGGAGCAAGAATAGAACATAGGCCGGGATTGTCAACAGATTAGTCTCGAATGTGTTGAATCCAAGCGCCTTTAGGTTGAGCGTCATGTATGCCGTGACCGGATTCGTCGGGATAAGCATGGTGAAGCTGATAAGGTACAGAGGCCAGAGGTCGTAGTCCATGAGGGAGTTCCAAACCAACTTGAGAGTGAGGCCTTGACGGTTGTGCATGCCACCCTAAATAATCAGCACGTTAGCTTGTTGCCACCTTGCATTGGGAAATAATGCGGTCTCATACCTTTCCTGGATCGTCACGCAAAACTCTGTTAACCATGATGATTTCCTCCCTCTCCGAAAACCAGCCGTCTTTGCCACGGAAGTAGCTTGCTGTCTGTGTTGGTCCTGGGGGCAAATAGAACCAAGAAACAATGCCAATGAGGAAGGTGATTCCTCCCTCAAGGGCGAACAGCCATCTCCAACCCTCCCAGCCTCCGATGCCCCTCATGTGAAGGATTCCATACGCTAGGAAAGCGGCAATGATGAAGGTGCCGTTCGATGCACAATAGAAGAAACTCATTCTCATCGGCAGCTCCTTGTTGGTATAAAAGTAGGAGAGATATAGGATCGCGTCAGGGATGAAACCACCCTCAATCAGCCCAAGCAGCGCACGGGTGGCATAGAAGGACTGCTCTCCAACGATAAGGCATTGGCAGATGGCAACCACGCTCCAGGCGCACATCTGGATGGGAATCCATACGTCAGGACCCAGCTTTTTGGAAATCATCTGCGACGGTACTTCGGCTGATAGGAAGCAGAGATAGAAAATCATCATGCCGTAGTTGTAGTTGTTGGTTGTTAATCCGAGGTCGTTCAGCATGTTGTCACTCAATGCCTGGGAGATATTTCCTCGGTCCAATTGCAATGCAAAGAACATCAGACAGACCCATGAGCAGATCCTCTTGTCCAGCTAGAGTTGAAAGCGCACCATGTTAGTGTTCAAGAGTCACTGATAGCCACTGATATTGTCAAAGCGCTTACCTTTCTGACAAGCTTCTTCTCTTCCTGCGGTGTCCACTCGGCTTTGGGATCATAACGATGGCGTCCCTCGTATTCTGGAATAGGTTCGTAGTGCGCTGCGGATGCTCCAACGGCGAAAGTGTCACCATCGCCATAGAGTCCCTTCCCATGTTCAGAGCCTGAACCGTCCGTTAGAGACCCGTTGCTGGACGCTTTGGGCTTAATTTCGCTCGTAGCGATTAATTTATCCGCCATTTTTTACGAAAGTATGAGCCAGTAAGATTAAAACTAGCAGAAAAAGCAAAGTGAAGAGGTTGATACATTAAACTATATTAACTCTATATAGGAAGCTACATTGTGGCCCAACGATCACGCTCTGCAGCAATGCGTGCGAATCGTTTGCGATGGTGCAATCAGCTCCCTGAAGCCATCACCAAAGTTCTGTAACGCTGGAAGATAAAATTAGCGTTTTGGATTGGATAGAAATGGTGCAATAGGTGGACAATGCCGAATTTTGTATCCGTTGAGGCGACGGCTAGGACGGCATCTCCGGGGCGGCTGTGGAGATATAAGCTACGACTCCCCACCAACTCGATGCAGCGTTATCCATGTTCATGCATGTCAGTTGGACGAAGCTGTTCAGTAATTATAAGTGAGCTTGATAAGTTCTTTCAATCGAGTAGAAGAGAGAAGGTCATTCCACCAGCAATTCTTGAAAAAGCCGTGGCTCGTTCAACAACGACTTTAACCAGCAGTGTTGAAATCAATACACTTGGCCCCAAATAACCAGCGACGATCATGGCCAACGCAATTTGCAGAGCCGTACTTAAAGATGGGCCAAATATATTGTGTGGGCAGTGAGGCAATGCTCAGACAGAGCACACACCACGTTATGGACCCTAAAAGGCTCATGGATGAGATATGCTAGAGTGCCTGCAGGATGCATGAACCTAGTGAACGAGAAGAATGAGTGTCTAGAAACACGCTAGAAACTGCCCATTTGATCTGGACCTCATTGAAGCTGAACTGATTCGTAATGCCACTGGGCAATTGGGGACAAGTTGACCAAGGATCCAAACCGCCTCATTTTGCCTTCGTCAGCGCATTGACTATGGTGACCTGCTCACCATCAGAGATTACGTCTCATTTCCATCTTAGGCTGTTACGAGAAGCCCATTAGCGCGGTGTATCGCTTGCGTGATTGATTAGCTCTGAACGGGAGACGGGACTGGGTTACCCGACTGAAGCATCCGTGTTTTTGGGTGGAGAATCCATCCGAAATTCGAGCAGCTACCAGGTAACCGACCCTCCCGACGGGATCGTCTGGAACACTACGAGCTATTTAGACTCGAGCAAGGTCAGGAAGGAGAAAAGAGGAGAAAGGAGGAGCTCGAGGGTCCCAGCCGAGACTTAAATCCTGACGGGTACCCGACATAACGCAGGGGTTATGCCAATAGCAGCCCGCACATCCTCAAACCACACACTCCGCGGAAATGTCGGATGGCAGTTCAAGCATGTCATAAATCAATGCTATGATGCCAAAGGCAGCTGGTTGATGGTTCGTATGATGATTGAACCTTTCGGTTGAAAATGCACTGTTCCTGTCCGGTTCTAGAGACGAGACATGTGTTTGCCTAGGTAGTTGTATTTTGGTGTCGTGATTCAGGTACCGTCAGCCATTTTTACCCGTGTCACGGAAGGGAGGCAGGCTAGTGGATGACGTAAAATGCGGCACGCCAAGGAGGAGCAATATTGTACTCTCAGACAATATCAAAGTAATTGCCGGAATCAGCCAAAAACGTCACATATTCGCTCATCGTTGTGGTCACAGCGATGATCGATCAGACAATTCTAGCTCCATGCCGGTTGATTCGACGCTGAACCTGTGGTTTTCGTGGTTTGGCGCGCCAGCGAATTCGGCAGAATGATCTTCCGTCCCCGTCATCCGGATGCTGAATAAGCATCGTCGTGATAAGCTGTGATAGCTGGATGACTAAGGGCTACCTGCCAGAATCTGTGGTAAGCGCCATGGAACATGCTAGCACCAACCAGCACTCGCCAGATGGAAATGATCGATCACGTCCAGATGATTCATGTCAAGGCAAGAGTTAGATAGAATGTCGAAGCACAAGTTGCCAACCGTTTCCACCCCCTTGATGCAGCCTATAAAGTGGCAGGATTTATCCTGCTAAGTGGAATCTTTGTTTCATCAGATCAAGCTTCAACACCACAAACAATAAGTCTTCCACTCATCTTTGCAGCAAAGATCCATCCACCATTCACCAGCCTACCCTACACACTCTCCAGTCACCAACAGACACAATGGCATTCTTCTATCCTCGAACTGTCTACCACTCCCAGCCCTCTTTCACGCCTATATTTCATCTCTTCAATGGTCGCAGCAGCCAATGCGAGCCCCGTCGCGTTCGCAACACTCGCTATGTCTACCGGCAGCCAGTTCGTCCTTGGCTCCCCAGATTTGAGGCCAAGGAAACTGGCGATGCCTACGTGGTTCTTGGAGATCTTCCGGGCCTTAGCAGAGAACAAGTTTCCGTCGAATTCCCAGAAGCCCAGAAACTGGTAATCCGTGGAACTACCGAGCGCCGTGCGCCACAAACTTCGAACCCGGATCAAGCCACATCAGAGCCCACATCCGAGCCTGCAGTTGAGGCCATCACCGAATCCACACCCGCACCCGCGACCGCGACCGCGTCCATCGATGACAATGACGACGTGTCCTCCGTCACCACAGAGGCCTCACAAGAAGCTAAGAGCGTGAGCTCCTACCAGGCCACTGTCGAAGATGCAGACGATGACGACTTTGAAATGGTCGACGCGTCCCCCGAGAAACCCAAGGAGCAGGAGAAGAAGCCTCAGGCCAAGCGAGAGGAGGTGCAACCAACCCCTGAACGGGAGCCATCTCCTTCGCCTCAACCACAGGAGCAGGCTCAGGCACCAGTGCCCGCTGTCCCAGAACTCCAGCCCGCCCACCCAGAGCAGAGCAGGGTCCGGCGATTTGCCCGCACGCTTAACTTCCCTGACGGAGTTGAACTTGACTATGACGCTGTCACTGCAGATCTCAAGGACGGTCTTCTCCGCATTGTTGTTCCCAAGATCAACCGATCCGAGCCACGACGCGTTGCAATTTTATAGATGGCGATCAATCATTCTGGACTGTATTTGGAAGAAAAGATGCGGCGTCGGGCGTCGGGCATCGCGCGATAATAGACAACGCGCGCATATGTACTGGGTTTTCTAAGCGCTACAATTGAGCGATTTCTGTATAATTTAAATTTTTCGTTAAATCAGATCAAATTTTGCAACCAAAGATTTATCTATAACAGTGCTATGTGTATGTGATAAGTGTTGAACCTGGACAACAAAGACCCAAGAGGCGAATACTAGATCTACTTCGACATTAACCTTGAACTACTATTTTAATTCTCCTTATTAATCGTAAAATTATTACTTTGCAATTTAATTGAATATTCCCATGTGCCACTCCGGTGGCTGTATGTAATGTGCATGGATGTCTCTCGTAGGGAAACCATTCGGGCGACCACGCGGCCGGAACGCGACAATGAAAACCATCGAGGTCAAAGGTGAGGCAGTGAAACCCAATTCGAGGATGGCTCAGAGGCTACGGTAAATTTCGTAGAGCTATCGATCTCGCGACCAGCGAAGAAAGGCTAGTTTTGAAAATTGGACATATTGAACGAAATGGTAGTTGTAGAGAAAGGCCAAAGCAAAGCAAAAAAGTGGCAAGGAGGGGATTGCTGGGCAGACATTGGGGTGCATGTGATGCTCAAAAGAACTACACGTTATATAACGATGCAGCGTTTCTTGAAATTGGGGTCCGGCTCCGGGACATGGGGGATGAGCTCTATGATAGTCGCAGTCCAGTTAGATTTGGTTGTTAAGGGTGAGGTGCATTGTTTGCTCTGACACGCGGAACCAATTGCTCGACTCTGTCTGAACCAGGACATTGCCCCCAAGGAAATGCATCATCAGATGGCTCATTCCGAGTCTTAGACTCTAAATAAATTCGGCTCTTGAAATCGTTCGCACATCAGGCTCATCTACTGGCGATGGTCTATATCAGCGACACATTCCCTCGACTCCGAAGCATCGCCAGACGGTTACCCTGGGCTTCTGGTGCTACTAGCGGGTCTGCAGCAGTTCGTTTATTGAAATAAACAGGATGTGTCACCTGGTTTTGCTGGGAGATTTGCGAAAAGTGCCATCAATGATAGCCGAACTCCTCCGGGGAAGCTCCCGGTTCTGCTATCTGACCTCGAGCTCACTTTCGCATGAGCCTTCCTTCCTTCAGCTTCCCACTCACTCTCTCATCTTGTCTTGTGCAAACCCCAGAAACTTCTCTTGAGAACAAACCAACTACATCACTTTTCCGTTCGCTTTTACATATCGAGAAAAAGCACCACATCCTACCAAAACATCGCCACTTCTAAATTCGCAACTTCAAAGACCGAGGTGCTCTGTATATTGGGTCTTGAACATTAGCGCCTCCGCCATGGGACTCAATACCAAGATGCCGACGGGTACCAAGAAATACCAGTATCCTGTCCCCCACGACAGCAACAACTGCTCTTCAACTGGTAACCCCACCCCTTCTCTTCCCCTTCACCCAAGACCAATCTGAAGAACGATGAAATGACTAATCATTCTACAGATGACGCAGAACTTACAATCGAAGGGACCATGAGCGGCAAGAAACGAGGACGAGAGCACCTCCCCCCTAATTCGGACGTTGAACAGAAGAAACAGAAGATGGAAGCAAATGAAGAGGAGGGCAAAGATGGAGAAGAAGCTAGTGATAAGAACGGATGCCGAGTCTCTTGTACCCCTGATCCGGTCTATGCTTCGGACGAGGAAAAGATGAAGCAGAAGTTGAAAGACCAAGAGAATTCAACAACCGTGAATACCGAACACGAAGAAAAAGCCGAAGGGAAGAAGTGCAAATGTCATGAGATAGGAGAATATTTGAGATCTATTGAGAAGAGGGTGGAGAGCGTGGAAGCAGAGATGGAGAAGCTCTGGGCAGACTTCGAAACTCTCAAGAGAGAAACGGAGATGCGCCTTGATTGGTTGAATGGAGCGCTTACGGTGCTCTCAGCAGCCGTAGGTTGCTTGATGCGCCGATTCCTGTGAGTTATGAGGAACGCAGACGACGCTGCTACCCGTCGCAAGCAACTCGGGGATGGAAATCAACCGCGGAATCGATGCTACGACCACATCTTCAGCCAAAAATTCGAAGGCTAGGTTTTACAAGGGCCATAAAGAGTCTAGATGAATGGGCTTACGAATGGGATTTTGGTATGAGGGAGACCAACTCACTTTACTTTTCAACCCTTGTATTAATGGACGCGGAATCATCGGAGAGAAGGCTACTACTCGGGATTACGAATTTCTTTTGTCATACTTCGAACTTGGGAATTTATTGGCATGGGTATCGAAAAAAAGGGAACATGGAGTCGTCATTCGCGGACTAGAGAGTCATGCAATTTGGTGGGCGTAAACATAAAGAGCAGAGAAAATAGAGATCATCTCGAGATTTGGGGAGGAACCTTTCCCAGCCTCAGTCTAGACCTAAGCTATATGGCAAGGCAGATTTGCATTGTCTTTGGACGACCTGGCCCAGAAGTTTATGCTCAAGCAAGTCCTACTCAGTGATGAGTGAACTGAACTTGAAAACACTCAGATCGGATTAATGATTAATGAGGGTCAAAGATTCATCACTCTTTCTCTTTGAATCGTTTTCCATATCACACCAAAATTTATAGGCTCTCCGAGAATGATACTTTTAAGAAAATCCCCATTTCGTATTGACTCATGGGGTGAATTATGTTCGACTTAAAATATCCCCGTTGAGATTATCGGAAGAGTTCACGACTGATCACAGGCTAATTGTCGACGAGTGGAGGCCGTGAATACAAGAGCAAAGCTGGCGCTTCGGGCCTGTAGTGGGTATTGCGTCTCAAGACCAAATCCCTAAACATATGATACATGATGAGCTAAAGGCCGAGGGTATCCTAACAAAGGGCTACTTTAGCTCTAACCGATAACCATGACACTATTTCCATTAAAACCCATCCATTCTATGGCATTTGATCATTACCCCCTAATTGCATATTCAAATCAAAATTACCCGGCATCCCATGATATAGCATAGGATCCAGGTCGGGAAGAAAGTTGTTGAAGAGGTCCAAGACGTTTGTCCCCAAAGAGGGCTCCCCGGATATGTTTCCCCCGAAGGCATCTATGGTATAGTCCATGCCCCCAAAAGGTTCAAAAGATTCCGAAGACTCCGGAAATTCAGACCCTGCTTCTCCCACTGTTCTCAGCTGCTCCCCAGAGGTCGTCATCACCAAGTCCTGAGCTGCCGGAGGCTGCGTCCTGGTAATCTCTGGACTGACTCCGTTGCTGGAACCTTTTTCTTGCAAAGAGCTTCCTGGAAGCAGCGAGGTATCTTTTACACTGTTCCTCTGTGATCCAGCAGGTACAGAATCACGGCTTTGGATACTGTTGACATAAGTGCGAGCGACGTGAGAAAACTCGGAGATGAGAGACCCCGGGAGTGTGCCGTTGCTGCAATATTCCAGTCGGCTAAAGTGTCCGGCGGCCATGTCGAGCAAAGCGAGGTTTGAGTAAGTTTCCGGCTGTCGTGGGTTATGAACGACGCTATCGAAAAGCACAAAAAGCGCGGCCAAGGGAATAGTTGCGAGAATCCTAAGTTCAATGCGTCAGTTCTACCGAAGGATAGCATATGGAATAAATATTATTGCTCACCAGATATTCGTATGAGGCTCGACCTCTATTAGTGTCGTCAGCTCCACTATCAACCGGCAAGATTTGTGGATGTCAGAAGTAGCAGCTTGACGCTCTTTGGAATAAGCTTGATCGTTGGATTTGACAAGGTGAAGAAGTGTGTTGCGATTGATTATTAAGTTCATATGGGCGTATAGGTATTGAATAAAGGTGGCCGCTTGTCGCTCAACGGATCCCTGAACAGTTTCTGGTCGGATCGTTCCACCTGGCCGGAAGCCATTATCAGGCAGTGAAAGTCGCCAATCCTCCAGCTCTTTCTTTAGTTGCTCTGTTGTTTCGAGGTGATATGAGGTTGGTTTATTTGCAACACCAACACAAAAGAGAAAGGTGAGAGCTCTGGATATTATTCTGGCGTAGCGAAGGAAGGATAGGAGGTAATCGAATCCGCCGAATGTAGCTTCCGAAACTCTAGGGAGAGGACAGGAGATATCGCCGTCGACAAATACCTATTAAGATTTTCATGTCAGTAAATAAGAATGAAAGAGCATCTTGGTAAGAAGATTCCGGTGAATGCGACTTACAGAGCTCCTGCCGATCTGGAAGCTTGACATTTTTTCGATCGCATAGAGCACCCAGAAGCACCGAGAATATCTTTGGGCCGAACGACCTGTGAAATTTGCACCAGCCAAATTTTGCGCTCGCCTAGCAGCCTCGGACATGATGACGTGTTCGATCGCGAGACATGACACACTGAGGGAAAACGCCGACATAGCAGTCATGGCCTCTAACGTAGGGAGTGAATCGTTGTGTAGGAGTAGTTCAGGGAAGTATGCCAGGCTAACTGCAAAAATCTTCCATGATTTCCCTGTACAAGGCTCGAAACTACCCTCTCCGTCATATTGGCTACCCAAAGCTAATACTGCATGGTAAAGGCAAACCCACGGCTTGCTGTTGGTAAGCAATTCATCCAAATTGTTGCTGAGCGCTATGCTCTCGAAGCTGGCCCGCTCAAGGAAGGGTAGGAGAGGATGGACGCGCTCGAAATACACTGGTTGTATAGCATGTTAGGTCATCTCGTCATCGTGATACATGCTACGTGGCAACTTACGCTGAATGTATTTCTTGGCAGCAACTCTGTCTGTAAATAGCTCGACAGAATGATTGCGGCTCACTGCCGACTGGATCGCATTCTGGCCCGATTCTGGCCGCTTTGAGAGCCTGCTGCGAACAACATTAGATATTCTCCCGACGACTTCGTTGACACTGTCATTCCCTAAGCGGCTGGACAGCGAAGCAAGCCGGGCATCTGAGAAAAATGTGAGGTTGTAAGCGCCTGCTTAATGTCGTGTTAGATTTATGAACATTTTGGGCGGAAAAGGTAGTTCTTCCTACCAAGAAATCCATTCCCCTTTGCCCAAACAATTAGCAATGATCAACGCCATGACGCAGATTGGGAAGCATACCCTGATGAAAACTTGGTCTTGTGGGCTTTGAGTTTGGGACAGAAGATCGTCCACAAGAAGGGTGGGAATCGATGTTGCGTTCGATTCAATCTCTGATAAGCTACGATTCTCACCATTAATAGGAAGAGGGATGACGCGTGCATGTGACAGAGAGAGCGGCTGGTGTCGGATTGGCTGCGTTGGCTCTGACCTGACGGCCGGGGAAGCACCCACAACCGGGATCTCGCCAGGGGGCGACGGCTTGGGGGAGAGAAAACCCTCGTTCACTGATGTCATATATATAGATTAGCTTGATCCTGGAGACTAGATTCCCTCTACCAGCACCCAAGGCAGCTGGCGAAGAACAAATCATCTGACGCTCGGCGGATTGCGAGAGCGAGTTGCCGAGATGGGCAATGGGCTTACCATTTCGTCTTCGAGAGGGCTTTCTGGCACCGAAATGACAGACTGCCTTCCGCCGCTATTGAATAGAAGAATTTTCGTCTCAGTTCAAATCTGCACGTGGGAGCGTGGGGGTAGGATCAGATGGCCATCTCGATGGATGGGAATGAAGACATACCAGACAATTGGCACAAGGACCCCGACCACCTGCACCTACACGCAAATAGAAGGCATGGTCAGCAAAACCTCGTCTCTTGATCTCTAATTACCGATGGCTGGCGATCATACTCGGACATTTGACTTTGCGTATTCGGCACGCGTCGCAGGATCGGTTGGCTTTGGGCACGGCCAAGCTCGCGGTTGGGGGGCGCGCGTTCCCCGAGTCCTCTGGCATGGCACCTTCTCGCTAGGCGTATGAGGGGCTTGGTTCGAGGGCACGCTGGATTTCTCGAGGGAGAGATTCGGGAGTCAAATGAGGATTGGGGTCAACGAGAATCGCCGAGTGTCGAGTTATATGCCGAGCTGTGCATGAGCAGGAAACGTCTGAGCTCGGTGCCGAACTGCCTCATCGGGAAAAGGGTGGCCTGGATCCGCCGAGCCTCCCGCTTGTGAGTGTCCATTCTTTTGTTTGCGTCAATGCTGCGCCTCGCCAATCACATGCCTGCAAGCACGTTGATGACGGGCGTTTGCTGGAGGATTCCTGCGCGTTGCCACGCTTTCACAGGACATCGAATCTTCAGCCTCTTCCAACTGATTCCAGGCCAGCAGATTGGAAAGTCCGCGGTCAATGCCCGAGATGACGTGGGTCGAAATCTTAGACATATGCCTCGTAATGGGCCAATTGGTGCATAAGCGGTCGCCCGCAGGCGGTGCGGCCTCGTGTGATTCGGGAAACAAGAACTTACCGCCCAGCATCTTTCGTGCCGTTATCGCGGGGGCGTCGGATACAAAAGACTGCGAGGATCTTGACCTCTGCTGATGATGGTTGGGAAGATGGCATGTGCTTGATCAGACCTGTTCTGCTGCTCGAATCCATCCGTTCACTTCTTCCATGGCCCTTTGTTCTTACTCTTACTCATCTTAATCCCCTACACGCTCTTTTTTCCTCTTACGTCTTACCTCTCCATTTCTTCTCCTCTGCCCCTAAAGGCCTGCTGCCCCTTGGCAGTCATGGCTTCCATAGACGAGAAGATGGAGAGCCGCCGGGCGCCTGTTACTGATGACGGCGAGCATTCATCAACGCCGCAGTCTGAAATGACAGCTGCATACGAGCAACCAGACAACCACCCGGATCAAAATGTCGCCGAACTGATACGGTCCTTTAGTATGAGTCTGGTGAGGAGCGCCAGCCATGCTCAGGGAGGCGGCATCGTGAATCCCTTTCTCACGTCGAATCCCGCCATGGACCCCAATTCGCCCAGTTTTGATGCAATTGAATGGGCAAAGGCCTTCTTGCAACACTCGGACCTGGACCCCAAGAAGTATCCTCGTGCAAGGGTAGGCGTTTCTTGCAGGAACCTAGGAGTTTATGGCTATGGTACAGATACAGATTATCAGAAGAATGTTCTCAATATTCTCATGCAAGGCCCCCTTATGATCAAGCAATGGATCAGTCATCGTCGTCGTAAGATCGATATCTTGCGCAATTTCGATGGCCTGGTCCGAAGCGGAGAAATGATCCTCGTACTTGGACGTCCCGGAAGGTCAGTTGCTCTATCCCTCTTGAAAGATTACTGTACTGAAATTCTTGGCAGTGGTGTTACAACGCTTCTCAAAACAATTGCCGGTGAAACAAACGGACTTCATCTTGGCCCCGAGTCGCATTTCAGTTATCAAGGTTTGCTCTCCCCTTTGCTCTTCTCGCACATTCTATGGTTATTTGTTCAATCTCTGACTTTATCTTTCGCCGTAGGTATCCCGATGGATAAAATGCGCAAGTGCTTCCGTGGCGAGGTCATCTACCAAGCTGAGGAAGACGTTCACTTTCCCCATCTGACCGTAGGCCAAACACTCCAATTTGCTGCTCTCGCACGAACGCCTCGCAATCGCTTGCCAGGTGTCAGCCGGAAACTCTATGCTACCCACTTGAGAGACATTGTCATGGCTGTCTTCGGTATCTCCCACACCGTCAACACCAAAGTCGGAGATGCATTCGTCCGAGGTGTAAGTGGCGGCGAGCGCAAGCGTGTGAGCATCGCTGAAGTGACACTGAGCCAAAGCCCAATCCAGTGTTGGGATAACAGCACACGGGGTCTTGACAGTGCCACCGCGCTGGAGTTTGCCCGTACTCTCAGGTCGGCTACAGATCTCGTGGGCATGTGTGCTATCGTGGCAATGTACCAGGCTTCACAGCCAGCATACGATGTAAGTCAATTGATAACGCCAATGAAGTCACAAGCTGATGAGACTGATGGAAAATTGGAAGATTTTCGACAAGGTCGCTCTTTTGTACAAGGGACGGCTGATCTATTTCGGACCTCGAGACGCAGCAAGAAAGTACTTCACGGATATGGGCTTCAACTGCCCTGATCGCCAGACTACTGCAGACTTCCTCACGTCGCTCACAAACCCAGCTGAAAGAACAGCCCGATCAGGGTTCGAGAACAGAGTTCCTAACAGCCCTGACGAGTTTGAAAAGTTGTGGCAAGAAAGCGCGCTTCGAAAGAGTCTTCTTCAAGACATCACCGCCTTTGAGGAAGAGTATCCCTTAGATGGAAAAGAGACGGAAAAATTCCTTCAGACGCGCAAAGTTCAACAAGCATCTTGGATGTGAGTAATGGGAACCCGAACTACTCTGAATGATGGCAAAGCTGACTCGATGACAGGCGTCGAGGGTCTCCGTATACTATTAGTATAATCATGCAGATCCAGCTGTGCATGATGAGAGGATACCAGAGACTCGTGGGCGAAATGCTGTTTCCACTTGTCACCATCGCAGGCAACGCAGCGATCTCATTATTGCTCGGTAGCATCTTCTATGATCTCCCTGATACCGCCGACAGCGCAAACAATCGCGCGGTTCTGCTCTTCTTCTCAATTCTATTCAATGGACTGAGCAGCGCTCTTGAGGTATGAAAATCCTATCCCTCGCTCCATCAGTAATGGATGCTAATGCCATAGAATACAGATCCTAGCTCTCTATGTTCAACGGCCAATTGTTGAAAAGCATTCCCGCTATGCTTTTTACCACCCTTTCGCTGAAGCAGTTTCATCCATGATCTGCGATCTCCCCATCAAAGTGGTATCTACCATGTGTTTCAATATTCCTCTGTACTTCATGGCCAACCTTCGGCAAGATGCGGGCCATTTCTTTACTTTCTTGCTGATAGGCTTTACCTGCACCATGACCATGTCGATGATTCTGCGAACCATCGGCCAGGTCTCTCGCACAATTCACCAAGCGCTGACCCCTGCTGCCATCTTCATCCTTGGGCTTGTCATCTACGCCGGGTACGTTCTGCCCACTCGTCTTATGCAAGGATGGCTCCGGTGGCTCAATTACATCAACCCCATTGCGTATGCGTTCGAAGCAACGGTTGCAAACGAGTTCACCGGTCGTCAGTTCCCCTGTCCGGCCTTTGTGCCCGCCTATCCTAATGCTGGGCCGTTCGAGAGGACTTGCTCCGTGGCAGGTGCTCAGCCTGGCGCTGATTTCGTGGATGGAGATTTCTACATCGGAGCCAATTATGGTTACAAGAAATCCCACATCTGGAGGTGAGCTTCCTCGTAGAATGATCCCTCGTAGAATGATCTGAGATGGGACCAGTGCACTGACAATACTGTAGAAACTTTGGAATTCTTGTCGCCTATCTGCTGTTCTTTCTCGCTACTTATATCCTTGCCGCGGAGTTCATCACTACGGGGAGATCCAAGGGAGAAGTGCTGGTTTTCCAGCGTGGCCATGATGCCAATCGTGCGGCTGGCCCTGAGGTCGCAGATGAAGAGTCTGTAGCTCCCGGCGAGAAGATTAATCACAGTGATCGCACGACCGTTGCGAAAGATGAGAAGAAGGAAGCATCTAAGCCCAGCGGAGGGGTGTTTCACTGGCGCAATCTCTGCTATGACATTACCATCAAAGGGCAGCCGAGGCGTATTCTAGATGGTGTCAGCGGATGGGTGCAGCCAGGAACCTTGACGGCTCTTATGGTTTGTTGTGACCCTCCGAAATATTTGATACACCTCCCCTAGCTAATACTAACATACCTACTTCTAGGGAGCCACAGGTGCTGGCAAAACCACTCTTCTCGACGTGCTAGCCAACCGAGTTACCATGGGCGTCGTCGGTGGAGACGTTTCAGTCGACGGTGTTCCCCGTGGGAACAGTTTCCAGAGAAAGATTGGTTACGTGCAGCAGCAAGATATCCATCTTTCTACGTCTACGGTGAGAGAAGCTCTTCGATTTAGCGCTCTCCTGCGTCAGCCTAGCACCGTTAGCAAGAAGGAAAAGTTTGAGTATGTTGAATCAATGATTGAACTGCTGGAGATGGAAGATTATGCAGATGCCGTTGTCGGTGTTCCAGGAGAAGGTAAGGTATCTTTTCTTCGGAAAATCGAATAAACTCTTCTAACATTCAAATGCTAGGTCTTAATGTTGAACAGCGAAAACGCCTCACGATCGGGGTAGAGCTGGCTGCAAAGCCAGACTTGCTTCTTTTCCTTGACGAACCAACATCGGGGCTTGACAGCCAAACCGCCTGGAGCATTGCCGCCTTGATCCGAAAGCTTTCCGATAATGGGCAGGCCATTCTGTGTACTATCCATCAGCCATCAGCTATGCTCTTCCAGCAATTTGACCGCATACTCCTTCTCGCGAAGGGTGGAAAGACGGTGTATTTTGGCGACCTCGGGAAGGATTCGCGACAGCTGATTGACTACTTTGAGAGACAAGGGGGGGA